ATGCTTATTATAGAATTGCTTTGTAATTGGCATCATCAGTGAACAAAGTCATTCAACGTCTTCAACGTTGTGATGACGGCTGTTCTCTGTACTATATTGTCATCTGTTAATGCCTCAAGGGATAATGGGTCTGCATTTCCCCTTCTAGAATTGCTGTGGAACATATGTCATCAGTGAACAGATCAATTCAACGCAAACAGTGATCTGATGGAAGACGAACTAAATGCCATAGTGATAATTGTAAGTATCGCCAACCATAACCGCACAATACATAGGTTGTAATGGAATCACTTTCGAATGTGCATCATCACTGGAAAAAGAATTCCATCGTCAAAATTACGGTGATGGTGGCTGTAATCAGTACTCTGTTGTCAATTGTTAATGACTCACTTAAGAGTGAACATGCGTTTTCTCCTTCTAGAAATGTTACAGTATTTAAATCGTCATGGTACACATTAATTCAACAGCTACAGGGACATATTAGTGGATATAATATTTAGCATGCCGACAATTGGAAATGACAAGTGCCACAATTGTAATATACAATGATTATGCCAGAATTGCTTTGGACTTTTCACCTTCAATCGACAAAGTATTCCAACGGCTAAATTACTGTGATGATGGCTGTGCTTAGAGTATTGTTGTCAATTATTAATGTCACCAGCGATATTGGAACTGAGCTTGGTCATTGTAGAATTGCTTCGGAATTCGAATCATCTTCGTAGAACATAAGCCACCGGTTATTGTGAGGAATTTGCGGACGCAGTAAGCACCTTACTGTCAATTAGAAATATCTGCAGACGGCCGTAGTGTACATTGATTATCCTAGAACTTCTGTGGAGTATACAACATTAGCGAACAGGTTGATCCAACGACAATAGTGATGTTTTGGAAAATGTACTATGTGTCGTGATGTCACTTGTAAATGTCACAAGCCATAACCGCACTATACATAGGTTTTCCGAAATTCCCATTCGAATTGACATCATCAGTGAACGAAGTAGTCCATCGTCAACCTTACTGCGACGATGGCTGAACCCAGTACCGTGTTTTCAATGGTTAACTCGAGGAATGGTGGACCTGCATTTTGTCATTATAGAAATGTTATAGAATTTAGATCAGCATTGAACAGCTTTATTCAACTGCTACAGCTCTATATTGGTGGCTGCAATGCGTACCATCCACTCAATTGGGAATAACTAAGGCGCTGTCCGTAATAAACAATGATTAGGCCAGAAATGCTTTGTAATCTTCATCGTCAGTGAACTATGTTGTTCAACGGATAGAATACTGTGATAGTGGCCCTACTCAGTACTTTGTTGTCATTTGCTAATGTCTCCAGGGATTATGGGACTGCATTTCAACGCTCTAGGTATTAAGATGAATATACACCTTCAGTGAGCAGATTAATCCAGCGGCAACTGTGATCTGTTGGAAGATGTACTAAATGCCGTACAGTAAGTTGCAAATGTCACTAGCCGCAACCGCACTATACATATGCTACACTAGAGTCTCCTTCGAATTTACTTCAACAGTGAATAAAGTACTCCAACGGCTACAATTCTGGGATGGTGGCTGTACCCAATACTGTGTTGCCAATTGTTAATAACTGGGGGAACAGTGGCCCTGTATTTCGCAATTCTAGATATGTTAGAAAATTTATATCGTCATTGAACTGTTTATTCCAACGGCTAGAGTGTTATAATGGTGGATGTTATAAGTACTGTCCTGTCCATTGGAAATATCTCAAGCCTTGACAGTAACATTTGGTGACCATCCCAGGGCTACATTGAAATTTACATCATCAGTGTACAAAGTTACATAACAGATATAACATGGTCACGATGGCTGTACTCATTACTGTGTCCTTAATTGACAATATCTCGAGGTCAGTGAATCAGTAATTTGTCATCCTATACTTGTTACATAATTTAGATCATCATTGAACAGTAGGATCAGGCGGCTATTTTGCTATAGTGGAGTACGTGAAATGTGCCGTACGGCCATTTGTAATACCTCAAGCTATAACCGCACCATACATAGGTTATTCCAAAATTGCATTGGAATTTGAATTTTTAGTGGACAAAGTTCTTCATCGGCTGCAATACTGTGATGATGGCTGTGCTCAGCATTGCGTTGTCAACTGCTAATATCTCGAATGATAATGGATCTTGATTTTTAATTCTATAATTGCTATAAAATATATATCATCAGTGAACAGAATAATCCCACAGTAAGTAGATGGCTGCACCCACCAGTGGATTCTAGGTTGAAATCGTTAGGCGATATATTCTACCTCCTGCAATATTCTATGGGATTGTAGGCTGTTCGAATAGACCTATCTATTGGTAAGTGGATGTCTGTACTCACCAGTGTATTGTTGGTTGAAATCGTTAGGCGGCACATTCTACAGCCTTCAATATTCAATATTATTGTAGGCTGTTCGAATAGACCTATGTGTTGTTAGGCAGATGTCTGTACTCACCAGTGGATTGTAGGTTGAAATCGTTAGGCGATCCATTCTACAGCCTGCAATATTCTATATGATTGTAGGCTGTTCGAATAGACCTATCTATTGGTAAGTAGATGGCTGTTCTCACCAGTGGATTGTAGATTGAAATCGTTAGGCGATCAATTCTACAGCCTGTAATATTCTATATGATTGTGCTCTGTTTGTGATTGTACTAAGCACCGTACTGTCGATTGTAAATATCCTTTGCCATAACCGTACCATACACCGATTGTTCCGGAATGTCTTTACAATTAACTGCACCACAATTCTGTAGCCGTTGAATCACTTCGTTCACTGATGACGCGAGTTACTTAGCAATTTTAGAATAATCAATGTACAGTCTTGCTATGGCTAGAGGTACTTATCATTGACAGTATGGTACTTATCACATCCACCAGCGGAGCAGTTTAGCCGTTGCTCGTGGTGTTAACGATTGACAATGCCGTGCTGGGTACAGCCATCACTGCAGTATTGTAGCCGTTATACTATCTTATTCACTGATGTTGTATGTTCCAAAACAATTCTAGAATAGCAAATGTATGGCACGGTTATGGCTAGAGATATCTGTAGTTGGCAGTACTGTACTTTGTATATCTACCAGCAGGGCAGTGTAGCCGCTGGATTAGTCTGAACAATGATGATATTGATTTTATGGCAATTCTGGTATGACAGATAACGTATCCATTATAACACAAGTAATTAGCTATTGACAACGCAGTAAAGAGTACAGCCGACATCAGTGTACTATAGGCGTACGGTTAGTATGTTCACAGTTGATGTAAATTCCAGCGCAATTCCAGAATAACCTATCTACCGTACGATTATATCTAGTGACACTTACAGTTGTCAGCGCGGTAATAAGTACACCTACAAACAGTGACCTGTTGGCCATGTATTAATCTGTTCGATGGTGGTTTGGATTTTACAGTAATTCCACGATGACAAAGGACAATTCCCTCAACCCTCGAAATATTTATAATTGACACCCAAGTGCTGAGTACAGCCACCACCTCAGCACTGTAGCCGACGGGCGGCGTTGTTCACTGATGATAATTCTAAAGGAATTCTAGAATGACAATGCACGTTTGCACCATTACTCGACACGTTAACATTAGACAATGCAAAACTGAGAACAGACACCATCACTGTACTGCAGACGTTGTGTTACCTTCTTCAATGATGATTTATGTTCCGAAGCCATTCTAGCCTAATCAATGTATGTTACGGCCATGGCTCGATACACTTATAACTGACATCACGGTGCTTAGTGCAACCGTCATTACAGCAGTCTAGCCGTTGTACTACTTTAATCACTGATGTATATTCTAAAGCAACCCTAAAATGACAATACGAAGATCCACTATCCTTCGTCACATTAACATTTGACAGCACCGTACTGAAATCAGCCGACATCACAGTACTGTAGCCGACGGGTTAACTGCGGGCAACCCGTTGTTATGAACTTCTCGACAGATTCGTGCTTCCCTGTCAGCTGGACTCTCCTGTCCGTGAAATAGCTTTGGGTCAGCTTTTAAAGGTTCTGCGCGCTGTTCCTTCGCTTCAGTTCGTGGAGCACGTTAGGCCACCATACATTATCGAAGGCACCCGATATGTCGAGTGCAATTGCTAAAATGTACTTCCACTCACTCCTCTCATTTATCGCTCCTCGTAGTTTGACAATTGCGTCCTCTGTCGATTTTCCAGGACGGAATCCGAACTGTCGCTCCGATGGCAGTATATGATTGTGGAAGAGTGGGGCCATCCTTTTCGCCATTAGTCGCTCCAATAGCTTGCCAATCATCGAGAGCAAGCATATCGGCCTATACGACTTTGGGCTACTTTTGTATCTGTCCGGTCCTTTGAGAATCGTAATGACGTTTCCGATTTTCCACCATTTCGGGAAGAATCCCCACTCCAAACAGGCGTTGACGAGATTCAGTAGCTCTTGGTGAATAGAGCTC